GAAAGATAAACCTCAGAAATCATGAGGTGACCCCTCTCCCTTTTGGTGCTAGAGAATGTGTGCGCTAGTCAGAGAGTTACAGAGAAAGAGGGGGAGGAGAAAGCACCCCCCCCCCCGGAATGGTCATGCCACAATCTCTCCTCCATTTCTCTCTCCTTTCGGGATTTTGGGCATACACACATGTGCCTGGCATGTCACTCAAGCCTCCAGAAGCCCAGTCTGCACCCAGAAGGAGCATGTCTATGCAAGGAGCACCCTTGCCTTTAGGAAGCACAGCAGCCCAAGGGCAGAGCGGGGCCACAGACTGGCCTTCGTTTCCCCAACTGCTCTCTCTTGGCGGCTTGCTCTCTCCACTTGGGCCGATCCGCAGGGTGATTCTCCGCCACCGAGTCCTCACGCATGCCTCACTCAGCCTGCCAGCGTGAGGGCACCTAAGTCCAACAGGTCCAGAGGGGCAGAAAGGACGTGCTCTGATTCACGGGGACCTGGGGGAGCTGACTCCCCAAAACTGCAGGAGTGATTAGGGTCTGGGTACTGTTTCTTCTGCCCCCACCCCACCTTTGCCACACTCTCCAGCCTCAAATGCCAAGAAGGGCAGAATGGAGCAGGGTCTCCAGTCATCCCACCATCAGGGGACTTCAGAAGGTGTCCCCAGGCTCCTGACACCTGACCTCCCGAGTCTCAGTTTTCCCACCTATGTCCTGACTCGATGCTCCCACAAGGCACCTCTGACTCTGAGACATCCAGGATTCTGGGCTCAGGAGCTGTGTCTCCCTCTTCATGGTCAGGCCCCCAGCAATGAACACACAGTAGATGCTTAAAATGATCTGTCGCATGGCTGAATGAAATGGTCCTCCATCAGTCAGAAGATCACATGGAAGTCGGAAAGGAAATTCTCTCCATAGACATCTACCGTGTGACCCCATAGATGGTCACACGTGCTAGCAGTGGAGAAGCCCTTTGCAAACCCAGTTCTCCTAGATCTGGCTGGAGGAGCCATGCAGGAAAGTGCTGGGTGGGGAGAGGGAGCTTGAACCCCAGCTAGGAACTAGTGTCCCTCACCTCCATTGTCCTAAGCACAGGGTTCCTCCCACTCCCCCTGACTTCCCTCTCCTCCCGCCTCCTCTTCCTGCCCTCCCCTGCACTTCTTGTACAGAGACAGCCTCTTCCTCCCTCTGTGGAGGTTCGGAGCCTCCTGTCGTCCTGGCGCCTGTCTGGTCCTCTCCCATCAGAACGCTCCTGGAGCCCTAGGCTTTCCTGGTCAGGGATGGGAGAATACAGCCAGGAAAGAGGGGACGCTAGTCTGAGTCCTTCTGAATCTAGCACGGAGGAGAGGGGTTCTGGAAGGCCCTACCCTCCACCTTCTACAAGGTTTCCAGGGACACATCAGGGTTGTCCTTGGGGCCTCCTTAGCCCCCACAACTTCCCCTCCACACCCCTAAACATGGAGCACAGAGCCAGATGAGGGGCGAACCTGCCCTCTCTCTTCCCCACCTCAGCCTAGCCAGAGAGCTTTTAGAAGTGCAGCGCGTGTGTGTTTTAGGGAAAATGACGGTGTGGCTGCTGGTGTGTGTGTGTGAGCAGGCACTGTGTGGGGGTGTGTACCGGGCGGTACAGAAATGGTGCCTTTCCTGCGTATGTGGGGGGTGTGGTATGATATACACATAAGGGGGAGCGAGGGTGTTTGTGAACTACGTGTGGAAAGTAGGGTGTGTGGCGTACGTGAGGGTGTGTTTATAACGCGTGTGTGCGTTAGGGAAAGCAGTGGCGTGTGCGACTGCTGGGGTGGGTGTGCGTGCAGCCTTGTGAGTGGTGCGGTGTGGTGTGGATAGATACCGGTATGTACGTGGTATACATGTGGTGTGGTATGTGTGCATGTGTGGTGTGAGTGGGATGTGGCGTATGTGTGTGAGGGTATGTTTACGGCGTGTGTGGTGGTGTTTGTGAGGTGTACTGTACTTGAGGGGCCAGGGTGGGAGCCAGATGCCCAGGATCTCCCATCCAGAGGAGCCAGGGGCAACCAGTATCCAGGCAACCAAGCTGGGGGAGGGGAGATGTGGAGGTGAGGGATGGGCAGGAAAAGGAGGGAGGTCTGGAATGGGAGAGGAGTTTCCATGGCAACTACCAGGCAGGTCATGTGCAAAAGACGAAGTTACAGAAATACACATACACATCCACACAAACGCAATTTGAGGTATCTGGGCCCCCAAAGTGGGGGACCTTTCATAGAGGGGTAGGTTGCTCACTGATCCACCTTGGACCCCCCGAAATGCCAGCCCAGCCAGAGAGCATGAACCTAGGAGACAAAGGAAGGGGGGACCAAGGCCACACTGATGGGCAGTTCTGGCAGCTGGGGCCCCCAGTCAGGAGGCTGGCAGCAGAGACCCGCAGGCCCTGCTTCCAGAGCGGCAGCTCGGCGCCCACCCCTGGGTGCTGTCTCCACCAGCCACCACTTGTCAGAGCCTGAGCAAGCGCCGGGGGACAGCAGGCTGCTCACCAACTCTCGGAAGCCCAGGAAGACACAAAAGGGGAGCTCCGCGTCGGTGAGCCTCTCCAGGAAAGGATGGGAATGGCGATCAGGGTCGGCAGACTGGGAGAAAAAAGTGATGCAGCCTGCGCCCTTCCTGTCGCCCACGGCCCAGCCCTGCCCACCCCCGACCCCCAAGCCCCGCACCAGCAAGTCCCATTTTGTATCGTTCATGTGTCCACACACACCCAGCCACACTCTCCGTCCTCACATCCCCGTGCTCCACCCGAGCGTCCCCAGCTTCCCGGCAACAAAGGAAAACGCCCCCCAGCATAAAGGGTGTGAGCGGCCTGTCCCCCTTCTCCAAAGCCCCAGGCTCAAGCTCGAGGCGGCAAGGAGAGCATCCCGCGGCCACCAGCGTCCCCCTCGCCGTCGCCCGCCTGCCCCTCGAGGCCGCGGTCTCCCGACGCCCACCTCCTTGTTTACATCCGCAGACCGGCTGCCCGCTGCCCAGGCGGGGACCGAGGCCCCTGGCGGGCAGGACCGCACACACCCACCGAAACAAACAGAACCCGTTGCTCCTGGCGCTCTGGTGTCCCCACCCGCGCCCCTCCCTCCATGGACGAAGGCGCCAACTTTGCCCGCCGCCCCAGCCTCTCACCTGCACAGCGGGTCCCCGCCGAGCCGATCCCCCAGG